AAAAAAAAACAGCAGAGAAACTTCACGGAAGTATTCATGGTCTTGTTGTGGAAATAGGGAACAGAGATACCTGGAACCTACAAGCCATGATTTAAGGTAAGGCAAATACTCAGGTCGGGAGGAGGGTGTGGGATTAGGGATAAGGACAGAAAATGTCACCTTGCTAGCAAACCCGTTCCCTGGACCCCACGGGAAGCTGTCCTGCTCATGGCTCTTGATCCTCCCTGGCCAGCGGGGTGGGGCCTCGGATCCGCTAGGATCTCTGCAGCAGCAGGAGTTGTTTTGGAGCTAAGAGCCCTCATCTGATCCGAAGCCCTCTTTCCCAGCAATCGAAATAATGATGTGCAGGTTAGGTGAGCTGTAACCAATCAGTGTGACAGGCTTAAGAGCTCTGGAATTCTAAGTCAAATCTCATCTCGGCCCTTACATGGTGAGTGACTTCCTGCGTGACTTGAACTCTTTCTGCCTGTTTCTTCATCTGTGAAATGGGGAACCCACAGGACTCTTGTGAGATTTAAATGACATGTGCATGTGAAAAGTGTCTAGCACAGTTTTCGATAAATGGTCCACTTTACTACATATGACACTAATCTCATCCATAGGCACCACCTCTGGCACGAAGCCTGCTGGCCTCATGTCTGCACTTCTGGAGTCCAGGTGAGTGAAGGTCACCTCCTAGTGGGCTTGGCCCACACAGACCACGCCTGAGCCACCAGCCCTCTCGGAGGCCTTCTTGCCTCCATTTGCTGCATTCCTTCTTCTCCCCTTTGGACTGAGAGCTCCGCAGGGGAAGAGCCTGTAGCTTCCCATTCATCTCCCACTCACCCCACCTGCCACACAGGCCAGCCCACTGGACGGGAGGTGACAGTGTGCTGGACAGACATTGTGACTGCAGAGGCCTCCTGTGGGTCTGCCCTCTTGCAGCTGACCCATCAGCATGCTATACTTCTATGAATTGGTGGAATGGAGACAGGTTTGTTTTTTTTTTCAAGATGTTTGAGGTTTTTTTCCAAGATGTTTGAGTTTCAAGATCGTCAAAACGATCTTGACGGGGAACTGAGAGAGGTCTCATGGAAACAGGACTGGGGGACAGGATTTGGCTGAGGCTTTCAACTGACATCAGACAAGGCTGCAATCAAGGGAATGCAGACCTGGGGCCTACGGGCAGCCACACGAGATGAGAAATACCAAAATGTGGACCATCCAGGTGGCCAGGGGACACAGCTCCAAAAAAGTAAGTGTGGTGCTGGATCAGCTTCACTGGAGGAGCTGGAGGTTCCACTGGATGGTGCTGGTTTAGTTTCACTGCCCTTTGGCAAACCATGTAAATAGATGCATGTTCTAGATGTGAATTTGCATTTCCTGCTTTCTCTCAGCAAGATCACCCGTGGACTAATGGAATGCCTTATTCACCAGCACAGTATTCCATATTGCTTTTAATCAAGAAACAAATTTCACAGCAAAGAAAATGAGGCAATGGCTTGTGACCAGGTCATCAGAGTCATACTGCACACCTCACCAGGAGGAAGCAGCTGGATCAACAGAAGGGCGAAATGGCCTTGGGAAGACTCTGTGACAGCGCCACTTGGGAGCCATCCTGAAAGGCTGCAGTGCTGCCCCCAAAGGCTCCGCTTTGCATGTGTTGTCTCTCCCATAACCAGGATTCATGGGTCTGGGAATCAAAGGATGGAAGTCGGAGTGGTCCTCTCATCTGTCCTGTCAACTGGAGTTCTGCTGGTTTGGAGGGCTTGGTTTTCAAAGGAGGAATCCTTCCAGGAAACACAAGACAACGCCTCACTGAATCGTACACTGAGGCGCATTTGGCTGTCTTGGGCCCTTCTGGGCACTGAACCAACAAGCAAATAAGGGGTTTACTGACTTGGGGGAATTACCAATGGGAGCAAATGCTGCTACATCCTAGGGGCAGGGAGAACTGTCCAGGACCCAGAATTTTCTGGGGTCCCTCTTACAAACAGCAAAAATGAAAAACTGTAACAAAGGAACAACTACTAATTCAGACACCCTAGGAATAAAGGCTTGGATCAACCATACCAAAAATGAATCCTGACCAGCGGAGATCCTGGCTGAGGGCAAAGGAAATACAGAACAGGCAGTGGAGGAGGAAGCGATCCATCACCTACAGCCTCATGATTGCTACAGACGATGTACACATTCTTGCTTGTTGTGTGTACAATTTGCTTCTCTCCCCGACTCATTATTTCATGCCACTTTTGTTGGAAGTAAACTTTACTCTTAGTATTTAGGCACCATTCTCTTGTTCTGTATTCTACTCAGATGGAATTGAAACTGACTTCGAAGAGTCAACACAGCTCAGAGATTGACAGTGACTCATGGGCTTTACACATCCTTTTTGGGAGAGGGTAACAGCTTCCAATTAATAACACCTTCTTGGGCACAAAGAATTGCTTTTGTGGTAGGACAGAAGTTGAAAGGCGTAGAAGGCTGTGCACAGATGCTGAATGGCTAACAGGGGCTTGTGCCAGTTACAAAGCTCTTGTCCCTCAGTTCCACATCAGCTCTTTTTAGCTCTGCTTTTGTGATAGCAGGGATAGAACTCTGCAAACATCTCTGCTTTGCCAGCTGGCATCCTGTTGGATTCTTGCAGTAGGGTGCACTCGAGGGAAGCTTCCACACTGCAGAAGGGGTGCGCTCCTTCCCGTTCCTGTCAGCATTGCTGCAGCGGTTTCTTCCTACAGCTGTGGGTGATTTCAGTTACCATTTCTGACCTGCTCAGAACCAGCTTCATGATGGCCTCAAAGACCTAGCAACAGGTGAGCAACCTCAGGGTGCTTCTGGAAATTGCTCCTTCCTTAATTCTTGTGTGGGTTTCTTGCTTTTTTGATTACTGTGTCAGTAATTCTTTTTATCACATTGTTGAAACAACTGGCATCATGTCTGTCTCCTATTTGGACTATGACTGACACACAGATTTCTATCTACAGATACTGTCTCAAGACTGTATTGTTTTAAATTCTTTGTCAACAATAACTGAGGCTCAACAAAGCCTCTTCATCCCTCGGTATTTCATGTGGGCACCGGCCATTGGCATGCCCCATGTGTCCCTCTTTAGGCTAAGCTACTTAATATAACTAAAACATTCAAGCTCAGGCCGACTGATTTCTTACATCAAAATCAAATTCTTTAAACTTTCTTCTATTTCAATATTCCTTATCCCAAGTTAAGGAGAGTTACCAACTGTATTTTGATAATGAAAATGTAAATTGAGTTGTGGCAATGATTAATACCAATCAGAGAATATTCTCACAAATCTGTGTAGTGACATTGCCATTGCCTGGACTATTCCACATATTTTGTTTTGGAATGCAGTGAAGATGGAGACTCATACACTGAAGGGTGGAGTTAGTGACAGAACCCCCGCTTCCCTTGTATTGACAAGTCCACGACCTGGTTCTTGCTGATATTTTCCATTTATTACTGCAGTAGATACTTGCTCTGAAAGTGCAACACCATATCACTCTTGTCACAGCCTCTGCTCCGTTTCCACTGGCAAATACTTGGAAATTCATTCTTTGAGCACTGTGGACCACCAGCTTCTCTCTGGGTGGAAAATTATTGCCACTGCCAGTATCACAGGGCACGCACATGTGGGAGCAGAAGGATTCAAAGGCAGAGCACTGGAGAGGAGTAAGGGCCAATTTCAAACAGAAAACCCAGCAAAGGGGTTAGAGGAGAACAGCCCTAACTGCAAAGTGGAGACCGATCCTACACTCTCCGGTGGCAACGTAACATTCTGGTTATTTTGGCCCTGGCAGACCTTTTTCCCTTTGTCTCTATAACAGGTGATACCATAACCATAACCACGTCACATCTCAGCATATCAGAGGCCCAGGGAGTAAAAACAGATGAAAAGACCTCTCAGGCTAGTTTGGAAAAATAGATGGTTAGATAAACTGACGATTTAATCTCCCACTGAAACCTGTTAGGCAGAATATCTGGGAGAACACTGGGCATAAGATGCTGCCTAACTGGCATGACCTCTTGCTCTAACCAGCATAGGGTATGTTTTTGATGGAAAAGACAACTTCAAATACTATAACAACAAAGAGGAAGGGGAAACATGAGCAGCTCTAGAAAACATAAGATTCAAAAATCTGAACCAAAACAAAAACAAAAAAAAAACTATAGACAACACACCTAACCAGTAGGCCTGGCCACTCACACCTAAGCACACTGTACACATACACACCGACTTCCCCACACACACAACAGTCAGGCAGATGCCCAAACGAGGGCAAATCCAAGTATCTGCTCTTTGGAATTTTCATGGCAAATTTGAGTTTAGGCAAAAGTGAAGACCTCCCTGGGGTCTAAACAAATCTCAGGAGGCAGCCTTTGCTCCGCATGCAGCCAATGGTGCTCTTCTATTTGCCTGAGCCCTTCACAATTGTCTGGACACCAGAATGCATTCTTCATGTTCCTGGAGTTTAAATCGCTGCTAGATCTTCTTATCTGATCTAACTTTACCTATAATAGAAGCACCTCCCTTTTGGCCCCTGTACTCACTGTTCTTTCAGGAAAAAAGCATCCCACAACAGTGGTAACTAGAGGGTGTTCAGGAATGGAAAAATAGCAAGAGAGTAATATAAACACAATAAGGAAATGCCTGTTACTCTCGTATGATTTCTCCGAGACCAGGTGACCAAGCATCCCCTAGTCTTCAAGGATATGTTTTAAAGAGAGGCCTTAATTTAAGGTACTACAATCTTTGCTCACAAGAGCCAAGTAAGACAGTGCTACTTGGAGGTTGCTATAGGACTCTTACTCAATTTATTTGAATCCTAGGTGCTCTTTTGACCTCTCTGACTTCAGTCCTTCTGGAGTCAGATCACCCACCTTCTCTGATGAGTGACTGGTCCTTTTTAAAGCATGCCTGCAGTAGTCTTCAAGAGGTTTCTGCCTGGGCATCACGGATCAGCACACATTTGCTCATACACATACCAGGTGATGAGGACTCAACCACTGCAGACAGGCAGAACCATGCAAATAAAGCCACCCAGCAAGGTCACCTTTTCTTCAGATGTCCCAGTTTCGGGATGATAGAATTTGCATATTAAGTGTTAATAGGCCTGGCAATAACCAGCTTTTGCTTCTCTTCCTCAATGAGGGACATGTCAGAAACAGGCTTGACACACAGGCTCTGCTCATACAGGAAAATGATTTCAGTCCCTGCCCTCAGCTCCAAATTCTGTACTTGGAACCTACGTTATAACCTAGCTCCTAATCAAACTGGCTTCTGCTCCAGCTTAGTTTTCTAGGGCATTCTCTCTAAGCTGCCTCAGTGAAACCAGTAAGAGCCACTGGATTACAATTCTAAGTGCAGCAGTGCCTAAGCAGGAAAGAGTCCCACAGGAGAGGAGAATGGAGGGAATAAGGCAGGAGATGATACAAAATCCTGGACAGTCATCATATCAGTAACACAGCTTCAGAAAGTGGTGGGCTTGGAGGAGGGGAGAGAAAGAAACAAAATGTCCCAATAATTTAATGGCAGAGCTAGAAGAGAGCATTTACAGCTATTCTAGGACTCTCCAACAGAATGCTTTTCCTGGATGCACAGACATTCATAATACTGGTTACTCTCATCAACAGCTCTGGCATGTACACGTGGTCACGGTACCCTTCGGACAGCACAGGAAGAGAACACCAGGACGCCCGAGAGGCATCTGGACAGCACACAGCGAATAGAAAGGCTGAACGCCCCCCCATGGAACCCCGTTAAAAAACAATGTTTGTCTATTACAAAGTCACGTTTTCCATTTTTCCGCTTTATAAAGTCAGCGATGCTGGAGGGTGTCTAGCGGAATCCGTCCTCCAGGAATGAGTGCAAAAGGGGAGCACACGGCTCAGGGACGTCCCTTCAGTGAACAATGGAAGGACTGGCTGGAGGCCTCCCATCCATTTCGGACAAATACACACATACAGAAAAGGATTATTGCCAGCTTGTGTACTTTCACAATGTGATTTTTGTATTTCGAAAGCTTGAATTGTCCCTGCAAGAAAAAAATGAGAGAAAATAGAGTGTTCAATACAAGGATCATCTATACAGAACTACACATACACAGGGAGAAAACTGATTCGTCAACCCTCAGGGTCTCTATGACATATCCCGGGACCTGCTTCACTTGTCAATCTAATGCCAAAACGGCAACCCACCTCCCAAGTCCCTTGTACAACTTCGATTCAATTTTTTGCAACAGAAAAAGATTAGAAACAATTCAAATGCAGATCAAGAGGGGAGTGGTTAAATATTAATGCTACGGCACATTCATAGAAATAAAACAAGGAAGCTCTCTACTTTGCTGTGCAAAGGGCTCCAAGATAAACTGATAGCTTAAGGTGCAGTGCGTACACACGGTATGCTACCTGTGTAAGTGGGGGTAGAGAAACAAGGTTATAGGTTCATATTTGCTAACATATATGTTACGAAACTTTGCAAGGCTACACTGGAAACCAACAACAGTGGAGGTGGAAGGGGCACACTAGTAACCGGGCAGACGGAGGAAGCCTCAGGAGACATTCTCTTTCTCTCCCCTTCTTTCTTTTTCTCTAACACACACTTTTGAAAAAACTGAACCAGGTGGTTATCTTATATGAACAAAAAACCCAACCAACCAACCAAATAAAAATTCTGAGTTTAAAGCTTAGAGCTGCTTACAGAAGGAAAGGATATTCTAGGAGGCAAAATCTGGGTACCTTTCACTTTATCTTACTTTAGAAACATGGCTCTACTTCTTGAAAGTGTGTGGGGGGGTATGTATGTGGGGTATCTCAGTATGTGTTCTCTTAGTTGCCTTTTATTGGATACAGACAGGCTTGGCCAGCCACTAGTGACCCTTCCTGTTCCACACTAGAAATCTAATGACATCTTAGCAGGTCCTGTCACCATATGAATCTCAAAATTTCAGAGCTGGCAGGGACTTTAAAGGCCACCAGTTGCTGCCCTTGCCCAGTGATTTGGACTCCAATTTGTCAGAAATTTTTGCCTGGATTTGGAGTCATTATTTCCCTTTGATTTTGAAGGGACATTCTAGATGCTCTGGCTTTGACTTTTTTTTTTTTTTTTTTTTTTTTTTT